CAACTGTTAATAAACACCTGTATCTTCTGGATGATGGCTTTCGTAGTTCTCCAGGTTTCCGCCCCATACAGTAGAACTGGCTTGACATTTGTATTGAAAATCCTTACCTTGCTGTTGGTTGACAGTTGCTTTGAGTTCCAGATGTTTCTAAGTTGTAAATATGCTGCTCGTGCTTTGCCGATCCTCGCCTTCACATCTGCATCAGATCCCCCGCATTCATCAATGATGCTGCCCAAATACGTAAAGGTTTTTACGTCTTCCAAATCTTCTCCGTCAATTGTGATTGGATTGTTGCATGCTGTGTTGTATCGGAGAATCCTGCTTTTCCCTTCGTGTATATTGAGATGTACTGCTGCTGAGGCTGCTGCTACACTGGTCGTTTTCTCCTGCATTTGTTGTTGCGATTGCGATAGGAGGGCCAGATTATCTGCGAAGTCTAGATCATCCAGCTGCATCCTAGATGTCCACTGTATCCCACGTTTCCCTTCAGATGTTGACGTCTTCACGATCCAGCCGATCACCAGGAGAAAGAGAAAGGGTGAGAGTAAGCAACCTTGCCTAACACCGGTCTTCACTTCGAACGACTTTGTCAACTGTCCTCCATGCACGATTTTGCAGTGTAATCCATCATATGAACTCTGTATGATATTGACTATCTTCTGAGGCACGCCATAGTGTCGAAGAAGTCTCCATAGTGTTGGTCTGTCCACGCTATCAAATGCCTTTTCGTAGTCAATGAAGTTGATGTAGAGTGGTGAATTCCATTCAATTGATTGTTCCACAATTATCCGTAGAGTTGCGATTTGGTCTGTACACGATCTATCCTTACGGAATCCTGCCTGTTGGTCACAAAGTTGGGCGTCTACGGAGTCCTTCATCCTGTTTAACAATACCCTGTTGAAGACTTTTCCCGGTATTGAGAGAAGATCATGTAAACAATAGCAAGTGAACTTATCTGGGAAATATTTGTAGACAATATATTGTGCTAAACAATGTCAAGATTATTCTATATTTAATCGTCAAATAAATTCCTTGGCTTATTACTTATAAACGACAAGATAATCTATTGAAAAGGTCAACAATTCATTACGTACATGTTAAACGCATGGGTCATTTCCATAACTTAAATATGCTGAGCATAACCAAACCCTAAATTACTTACCTACTTATGCCTGTTATCCCCAATAAAGCATAGGTTCCTGACCAGAATTCTCCAACTCATTCTGTTCTGCGCCTTCCTTTCTAGTTCTATCCAATTTTTTTTCATTCTTCTTATATCTGTTTCATTTTTCGGCTTAGTGTGTTCTTTGGTCTTCCTCGCCTTCTTTAAGCTTGACGATTCCAAGTGATGGATTGCCTTGTGACACAGTTGGGTGCTACCCTATCCACTTTCAGCATATTATTCTGATTTCTTCCTTTAGGGAATCTGGTTTGCTCTTTCCTACAGTAGGTTGTTGCTGATAGTGTCTGGTCAACGGATGTGAAGTATTTTGCATAGGCGACTGTTAATAAACACTTGTATGTTCTGGATGATGGCTTTAGTAGTTCTCCAATATTCCACCCCATACAGTAGAACCACATATTGTTTTAAGTGTAATAAATTTAAAACAAAACCACTGTTAAAACAAGGAAATAAATATGTTTTATAGAATTTTCATCACTGTATTAAATGTCTGCAACTTGACAAGGCTTTGTAAACACTATAAAATAGAAAATTCGACTAAACAGATAATTATTTATCAATATAGGGTTGTGGAGATTGTAAGCTTTGTTTGACATCATGGATCGATCTATGTTAAACCACCATTGATAACCTAGAGGTACTGGACTACCGTTTCGTTTTAATATGGGACTGTTCAGCAGTGAGCATCCTTGATCCCACTCCAAAGGAGTTCGAACCCAGGACCCTCAATTTCGCGCGCGAACACTTAACCCCTGTATTAATAAATCGACATCCAATGGTGTTGATGTATAACTTCAAGCAATCCATGTAATTGCGCAATCATCTTCCATTATCTGAGGTAGATACCTGTCCCTACCTGCAACGAATTAGCTCCACTGGCTTCTCGCTAGATTGCCGAGAATTACATCACGAAGCTAGTCGCTAGTCAACACATAGTAATTATCAGTATAGGGTTGTGAAGATTGTTAAGTTTTTAGTTGAGATCATGAATCGATTAATGTTAGACGACCATTGAAAACTTGGAAGCACTGGAAGACCGTTTCGTTCTAGTACTAGATTCCTCAACAGTTCACATCCACGATAATTATATCGTTTAATGCTTTCTGATCCCTGTTATTCTGCTTCAAATTAACTAAACAAGTAAGTAAATCAACTCTTTGTTTCAAGATGACAAGCAAATTGATATAGTTCGATGTTAACTTGATTAACTGTGCAAAAATTCAATGAATTCGAATTAAACTGATGACAGTCTTCAGCTTTCATTATGTCACATCATATTAATATCAGTATCACAGACAAATCATTTAAGAAAACCTCATGGGTTACACTTTTCCATGAATTAGTCAGTAAATTGATGAACAGTGAAAGTATGAAGAAGTTATCTATAAAATACGAATTGTTTTTCAAAATATGTAAATCTTAAGTCTGTACATCCTAGGACAGAGTTGGATGGAGAATGCTCGTGTCAGACCTATTCTCCTATATAAGAATAACAGGTATAAGTAAGTAAGTAAGTAAGTAAGTAAGTAAGTAAGTAAGTAAGTAAGTAAGTAAGTAAGTAAGTAAGTAAGTAAGTAAGTAAGTAAGTAAGTAAGTAAGTAAGTAAGTAAGTAAGTAAGTAAGTAAGTAAGTAAGTAAGTAAGTAAGTAAGTAAGTAAGTAAGTAAGTAAGTAAGTAAGTAAGTAAGTAAGTAAGTAAGTAAGTAAGTAAGTAAGTAAGTAAGTAAGTAAGTAAGTAAGTAAGTAAGTAAGTAAGTAAGTAAGTAAGTAAGTAAGTAAGTAAGTAAGTAAGTAAGTAAGTAAGTAAGTAAGTAAGTAAGTAAGTAAGTAAGTAAGTAAGTAAGTAAGTAAGTAAGTAAGTAAGTAAGTAAGTAAGTAAGTAAGTAAGTAAGTAAGTAAGTAAGTAAGTAAGTAAGTAAGTAAGTAAGTAAGTAAGTAAGTAAGTAAGTAAGTAAGTAAGTAAGTAAGTAAGTAAGTAAGTAAGTAAGTAAGTAAGTAAGTAAGTAAGTAAGTAAGTAAGTAAGTAAGTAAGTAAGTAAGTAAGTAAGTAAGTAAGTAAGTAAGTAAGTAAGTAAGTAAGTAAGTAAGTAAGTAAGTAAGTAAGTAAGTAAGTAAGTAAGTAAGTAAGTAAGTAAGTAAGTAAGTAAGTAAGTAAGTAAGTAAGTAAGTAAGTAAGTAAGTAAGTAAGTAAGTAAGTAAGTAAGTAAGTAAGTAAGTAAGTAAGTAAGTAAGTAAGTAAGTAAGTAAGTAAGTAAGTAAGTAAGTAAGTAAGTAAGTAAGTAAGTAAGTAAGTAAGTAAGTAAGTAAGTAAGTAAGTAAGTAAGTAAGTAAGTAAGTAAGTAAGTAAGTAAGTAAGTAAGTAAGTAAGTAAGTAAGTAAGTAAGTAAGTAAGTAAGTAAGTAAGTAAGTAAGTAAGTAAGTAAGTAAGTAAGTAAGTAAGTAAGTAAGTAAGTAAGTAAGTAAGTAAGTAAGTAAGTAAGTAAGTAAGTAAGTAAGTAAGTAAGTAAGTAAGTAAGTAAGTAAGTAAGTAAGTAAGTAAGTAAGTAAGTAAGTAAGTAAGTAAGTAAGTAAGTAAGTAAGTAAGTAAGTAAGTAAGTAAGTAAGTAAGTAAGTAAGTAAGTAAGTAAGTAAGTAAGTAAGTAACCCGGTTAAATAGCCGGTTATTAGATTTTCGTTCTCTCAATCTCCTAAACAATACCTTCGCCACATGAAGGTAGTGAGTAGGACTTCTCTCGAAATTAAAGGTTGTTAGGATAGGAAAAGAAAGTGAGATCATCCTGTTGTTCTTTGAATAAGTATCATTTCAACATGACATTGGTTCAGTACAAAATTATTTTTTATTAGTGTGTGTATTACATTCACTATAACATGTAGTATGTGTTTGTATTAATTCAATGGAAATTCCGGTTTCGCATTTCTCTTAATTCGATCATACATACTTGTTTTTAGACAGTAGATAAAATCTTCTATACGATTGTAGTGAACGAGAACACAAGTGGGCACAATCGAATATCTTAGTAACATCAGAGAACCATACAGTAAATACTTTATTTGCAAAATGTCCATCAATTATCTCAAACTTGACTGTTTCTTTTACTAATGTCAATCAATCGTCTCAGACCTCATTGTTCTTTCGTTTGTATACCGATCATTCTCTGTTCTCGTTCTCTACTCTTCGATCTTCTCAAACTTCTACTGTCAGGTATTTCACTTTCGATGGATAGTACATAATACTTATATCTATCAACATCAGTAGCACATACCAGATCATCAGTGATTTTTTAAAAAATCTTTCTCCTTGAATCGTAGCACGTTTCCTGTTTAAATATTCATTTTATTGTGTTATCGCAATAGTCTGTGATAAAAGTGTTTTGCTTCTATATTTAAACCCTATAGTTTATAATGAAAAATATAATTCAGAAGGGGTTTTGTGGAGACTGTAGTAATTTCAACAGTTGAAATCACAAGTCAGTTGAAGCTAGACCACCATGGAATACCCGGAAGCACTGGTCGGCCGTTTCGTCCTAGTATGGGACTCGTCAGTAGTGCGCATCCACATTAACACCGTTGGATGCCTTGAGTGAGACTGATAGGTCCTGGGTTCGAATTCCGCGAAGCGGGGTCGTGGAGGTGCGTCGCCGAGGAGTCCTACAATAGGACGAAACGGCCGCCCAGTGCTTCCAGATTTTTCACTATGGTCTAGCTTCAATTGACTTGTGATCTCAACTGTTGAAATATAATTCACTTATGAAAATAATCAGCTATTATTTTTTCTCTTTTTTTTGTTGACGTTGTTGTTGTTCTCCAATATCTTCTAGATTCATGATATTCCCTGTCAATCCTCATGTCTATCTCTTCTTTCTATATGTGGACAATTACATAAGACTCCTCAATCGTTCTTCATGAATATCCCATCTAGTTGTCCAAATAATAATCTAATACAAACATCCCATAAAAGATGGATATATGAAAATAATAATCATTATCAAACAACTCTATCTCCAATACAATCCACTACAAGTTATACTACTTATCATCATATGCCTAATTCTAAACAATATACCAAATATCCTAATTATAGAACTTATCTATCATCTAGATCATTCTTACTAGATGATCATTATGAATATGATCAAATGAAATCAAACTATCATCATAACAATCATCGTTATCCTCGTCAAATCAATATGAATAATAATGATAATCAATATGATTCAGAACAATCAAAACAATCTATGGAATATTTAAATCATTATCATTTAAAAAATTTACATATACCATTTACTCCAACACAACGTAAATTATTATTAACCAAAGAGGATTGTTTATTATTACCACCAGGAGGTTGTGACAATTGGATAGATCCTTCAACGAATTTACAACGTTTAAAAGCTTCTAATTATAAAGAATATTTAAAATGTAAGTTAACTAGTTTCTCCCCCCCCCCCAGTTATCATTATAAAATAATAAGGAAAGAATGAAGCTGGAAATAAGTATTTTAAGTAGTATAACTTATATAAGCAAGTGACTATCAAGTTTCAGTAGGATAAATGGATAATATGATGGTGTTTGAAGTGAACAGTATTCGGTTCGAATGCTAGAGTGAATATCAATTCTGAGATGCAGTTGCATCCAGTTGACCAGTCCCTACCCATCTTTGCTCATAAAGCTCATAACTTCAGACAATATCGAGACAGTTCGCACACATACACACAGAGAGGGAGATTGATCAATTACAGTCGTAAATAACAATGGGAGGATACAAGTAAAACAACACTAAGTGAATTTAAACTTCACCCCATTGCACAAGCAAATGAATATCAAGACTTAATAGCTAAGTAGATAACACGATAGTGTTTGAAGCAAACGTTACTAAGTTCGAGTCTCAGAGTGAATATCAACTCTGGGATGCAGGTACATCCAGTTGACCAGTCCCTAACCATCTTTGATCATAAAGCTTATTACTTCAGACAATATCGAGAAAGTTCGCACAGAGAGAGAGAGGGAGACTGATCAATTGCAGTCATAAATAACAATGGGAAGATACAAGTAGAAACCACACCAAGTGAATATCACTTACTATGATTATAAAAAATTATGACTGATTATCAATTTATGACTTTTCTTTTTAGTATCTATGTAACTATTAAATCCTATGAAGAAAAAGTAAAAACCAAGGTCATGTACAGACAAACAATTTTCATATTTCATCATATTACATAATGAATAGAATTACTTCATGTCTATGAATATACATATGTACACAACTTGTTAGAATACCTTTATACTTAGGTTAATGTAACTGTATTGTTTATAGATAATGTGAAAAGAATTTCATTCATTGTAATATTACACATTTATTGATCTATTAGTACTTACTTACTTACTTACTTACTTTACTTACTTACTTACTTATTTGCCCTGTTACTCCTCGGAGAGAAGCATAGGCTACCTACCAGCATTCTCAATCCAAGCCTGTCTTGGGTAAAACTTTCCAGCTCTTTCCAATTGTTATTCATTCTTTTCAGATTTGATTTCTATTTCCTAATGTAATGTGTTCTTTGAACTTCCTCTTTTCCGCATTCCCTTCAGGATTCCATGTTAGAGCTTATCTTGTAATGCAGTTTGATGATTTTCGTAATGTATGTCCTATCCATTTCCAAGGTCTTTTCTAATTTCCTCTTCAACTGGAAGCTGGTTTGTTCTCTCGCACAGTAGATTGTTGTCGATTGTATCCGGCCAATGGATGTTGACTATCTTGAGTAGACAATTATTTATAAATATTTGTACCATCTTGATGATGGTTGTAGTAGTTCTCCAAGTTTCAGCTCTGTACAGTAGGATTATTTGGACATTGGTATTAGTTGACAATTTTTCAGCCATTAGCTCCACTAGAGTTATGAATGAAATTCTCAATGATCTTTATTTCAATTTGTATTTTATGTATAATGGGATTTTATATCAGTAGTATATAGCAGTCAACTTCATTTTAACATACATAATTAAATAAGGTTTAATATAAATTCATTTGGTATTTGATTTAAATCACGAACTCATTGATGTAAGACCACTATTGAAAACCCAGAAGCATCGGACGGCCGTCTCGTCCAATTGTGGGACTCCTCAGCAGTGTGCATCCATGATCTGCTATTTCAAGTGAAGAGTGGAGCTAATTTGTGTTGGTTAGAGATAGGTATATACCTCAGACAATGGAAGACGGTCGCGCAATTTCGTGGATTGATTGACGTTAAACATTAAAACCGTTGGATGTCGGCCATCTCAGTGGTATAGAGGTTAAGCGTTCGTGTGCGAGACTGAAGGCCCTGGGTTCGAATCCCGCGAGCGGGATCACGGATGTGCACTGTGGAAAAAATGTAAAATGACAGGTAACCCAAATATTCATACAACCCACGGTAGTAGGCATTAAATAATAAATAAGAAAATAGTGAATCATGTAATTAAAATTAAACGAATACAATTCTAATAAAGGTTAACTATTTCATTTAAGATATTTACATTATTTAAAGTTATTGAAGAAATACCAGACTATTTATCAAATAGACTATTTACAATGGATTTCAATTATTTTGTTTATTTATAATAGTTACTTACTTACTTACTTACTTACTTACTTACTTACTTACTTACTTACTTACTTTACTTACTTACTTCTTCTTCTTACTTACTTACTTACTTACTTACCTATTTACTTACTTACTTACTCACTGCCTGTTACCCTCAATGGAGCATAGGCCGCTGACCAGCATTCTCCAACCAACTCTGTCCTGGGCCTTCTTTTCTAGTTCCATCCAATTCTTGTTCATTTTTCTCATTTCTATCTCCAATTCCCGGCGTAATGTGTTATTTAGTCTTCCTCTTTTCCTTTGGCCTTGAGGATTCCATGTGATGGCTTGTCTTGTGACGCAGTTGGGTGCTTTCCCCAATGTGTGTCCTATCCACTTCCAGCGCTTCTTCCTGATTTCTTCCTCCGCTGGGATCTGGTGTGTTCTCTCCCAGAGTTGGTTGTTGCTAATAGTGTTTGGCCAACGGATCCGAAGTATTTTGCGTAGGCAACTGTTAATAAACATTAGTATGTTCTGGATGATGGCTTTATTTATAATGGTTAATAATAAATTAATAGATTGGATTAAGTAGAGAATATTGAATTACTTTTTTAATAGTTAAGATCATGAGTTAATTGAAGCTAGACCACCAGTAAAAATCTGGAAGAATTGACAGACTGTTTCGTCCTATTGTGAGACTCCTTATTAGTGCATATCTATAATCCCGCTTCTCTGGATTCGAACCAAGGACCTATGGGTTTCATTGTTTGTAGAAAGTATTCCAATTAATATTGATTAATAAAATGAAGTATAAAGTTATATTATTGAATTTTGTGGTATATTAGTCAGTGATAATCTGTACAGAACCTTGGACATATACACATATGTACAAGTTATTACGGTCAAACTGTAATTTATGGACGAACCAATCAGGTTAGAAAAACACGTCTTGAATTTTGGCACGAAATTCATTCATCCAATTCATTAAAGACAGTTTTGGGATTTTAATTTATGTTAGTCTCTGATGAAAACTTCCCAAATCTAATTTTTAACCCTAATCATCAACTGTAGACCACAATCTACATCCTTTACACAAATTTAAAATCCCCATTTAGCCCTAGTCAGTAGGTGGACATTCTCAAGACCACTTATGATATGATATGATAGTGAGATTCGAATCATAAAGAGATATGTGGAATCATTTCATTTCAGTCAGTCAGTTAGCAACAACGTAGATTTTCGTATGTAGGTTCGTACATCAGTTCAACTTGCCATACCACATTAGCACACAGATACAATTGTCGATTCAAATCCCACAGTGGTAGAAGTAGCAAAAGTATAAACAGTAATCGGAAAGATTAAGGCTTGAAGATGATATTCAAGGAATATAATCTAGTGAAATAAATTTGGAAAGAGAAAAACAAAGCGACATGAAGAATTCAGAAGATTAGAATTTGGGCAAACACAAAGAGTGGATGCATCTGAGTCATTGCAAACGATTTTGAGCCATGTCACATTCAAGATCCCTAACCATCGGTTGCTTTTATCCCGCGGATCTCTACCAGGTACTTTACACATACTAACACGGCTCAGCTTACTTGTCAGTGACTTCATGGATTTGTGCCATGTTTTGTTCTGGCCGCTCCTAGCTACTATGACCAATATTGAACTACTCAACGTTTTTAGCCATAGATCAAAATTATCGTATAAAACTCAACCAAATAGTCTAGATCTACTAATAAATTAGTGGTTCCAAGAATCCATTCGAGTTTTCATTGATTAACTCGTACTTTCTTTTAGGATATCCTACCCAACTCAGCACTTTCTATCTGTGTGAATAACGGCGAGCCAAAATTTAACATGTTTCAATACTTTAGTCGGTGAAAATCGGCAGCAATCTTAACTTTAAACATATCTATTTAGTATTCTACATCTAACTTCGAGATTACTCACCCGTTGGCTCACTGTTTATGAATAATATTTCGAATATAACTATGGTCAAATCTAGATAGATGGGATCGTTTAATTATTCAGCTTATAGTACACTTTCCTTTGATATGATGTCTTCATGAAACCTTGTATTTATTCCAAAAGAAAAGCAAGTCATACATTGACTTACCATCCGTCATAATTGATTGATCACTGGGCCTTGATCAATGTCATGTGTGTCAAGTCCTTCTTAATGTAGATCGAATGCTATCGACCAACTTGTAATGTGGTCACTAGTCTAAGTGACTCGACATAACGTGCACTATGTTGAGATAAGATGGTGGTTGGAAGTAGTCAACAGGAAACCCTGGATCCAGGTTTCGTGCTATTTGAGTGGTGATCAATGTTATGTGTGTCAACCCCTACATCTTGCTGACGAGTACCAAGTAGCACGAAACCCAGATCCAGAGTTTCTTGTTGACTACTTCAAACCACCATTTTAACTTACCATTTGTTTTTTTTTCTTAACCATTATAACCTTTTTCATTAGACTTATGACCTTTTGTAAAACAATAAAATTACTTGGTTATTTCATCAGTGAAAGTATATCAGTACTTGTTTCTTTATTATTTATTATAGGTCATCATGTGTTGTGTTCAGTTTTGTTTATTTCTAGTTTCATGTATTAGATTTATGTGTACAGTTGAGATGATTATCATAAATAGCAACTATTGTTTAGTTGGATAAATAAGATTCTTCATTATTAAACTACCATCTTCATTGACCTAATACAATCTAAATGATAAGATTACACGATGTAGTTTTAGTAAAGTGAAGCATTTAAAAAAAAATCATTTCATATTTATAAATTTGTGGTAGTTGTAGCAATTGAATAGTTGAATTCGTGAGTCGTTTTAGACTAGACCAATCTGGATAACCTGGTAACACTGGATGGTTGTTTCATCCTAGTATGGAATTAATCAACGGTGTGCCGTCTACTAATTCCAGGTTATTCAGATTGGTCTAGCTTAAATCGACTTATGAATTCAACCATTAAATTATTACAATTTTCACAAACCCTCATTCTGACAGTGACTAGTGATTGGCTTCAAGATGTATGTCCTGGAGTTTTATTGATTAGACGTGACCAGTGGAGTCAAACCGTGTCTGTTGTGAGACAGTTACTCACTAAAGACAATCGTGGATTGTCGCGCACTATCACGGATTGGTTGAAGTTAGACATTAACACTATAGAATGTCGGTTCGGTGGTTTGGAGCTTAGGCGTTCGCGCGCCAGACCAAAAGCCATGGGTTCTGGTCCCTTTTGTTGTAGGATCATGGATGCGAACTCTTAAGGAGTTCTGTACTAGGACGAAACGGCCGTCCAGTACTTCCAGGTTTTCCATGGTGGTCTAACTTAAATCAACTGAAGATGCCACAGGTATTTGGAGTTTGACAACGCTTTAACCGGTAACACCTTCTACTATAAATCGTACCCACCAAGTGAAACTAAAAGTCAGAAGCAAGGAGGTTCAAAGATATATTTGATAAACTATCGATATATCGAGGATCAACTGATCTAGACTAGCTAGCGATTTCAGGGGAAGTTGATCATGGCGTTCCCACTCGTGACCTGATGCGGATGCATGACCGAGCAACATCAGCTAGGTGAGTCCATTGAAACTAATGTGGTCAGCATCAAATGTCGAAGACTTACAGATCTTTCATACACATAGTTCCCTTTATCATCATCATTACAGATCTATTGATTTTGGGAATTTATTTACCGCTACACAACCATTTATGACCGTATTTGTATCTAATGAAAATCAAGATGTTTCTCAAAATGAGTGTGTAATTTACTTCTTCCTGTGAATCAGGAACAGATATAATAGCATTTCATATTCAAGAAGAAATCATCTTAAGCACTCATATTTCTATGGTGAATAGTGATAGGCATTGAAAATCTGAAAATCGTATGCATTCATACTGTCATATAGCCATAACATCCAATTCAACTGTATACATTAATTGATATTGTCGATACTTCTTCAGAAAACCATTTTCCTGCCAGTATTAATCTTAAGCACTCTGTATTTGAAGTACAAATGGAATTATTAGAATGATTGATTACTATGAGGCAGATTGAAGTATTTTCTGCATCTGATTAAGATTAATGTAATTTCAAGTGAGAACAATGGTACACGGAGGCACCGATTATGTATGCACCAAACAAATTATTTGGTTCGTGTGACTGCTAGAATACTACTCAGATGTTCAAACTGAAACAGATGCTTTTCTCAGGGGATCACTCTCCCAACCTTTGACCTACAGGTCTAACCTACAAGACAGTAGAGCAATTTCAGGAGATCCAAACCCATGGTAGCCGGTGAACAACAATAACTTGATACGCCATTTGTTCCCTCAGGATCCATGAACCAGCCCATGTGCATCATTGATTTGGAATCAGTGTTTTCCAACTTCCTTAGGTGAACTCTCCGTGTTCACCAACCCGGTTAAAGCGCCGGACATCATAAACAACACCCCCGTCAAGAGAAGGCAGTAAGTAGGACTTCCCTGACAGTGATTGTACACAGGTGGCCATGTGAGCGCGTTTGGAGAGGGAGAGCTGACTCTCTTCTTTCTGTGTCATATAAGGGCATTTAAGAGCAATATTAATAATAAACCCACTAGTAATAAACATACTTGCTCTGCATAAGTTAACTACAAAAGTCAAGAATTCCAGTGATATGATTCACAGATCGTGATCTTATAATGTTATTCAATCAATATTTTAAGAAATCCATTCACAAATTAAATCGTTTATTGCATTGATTCTTGTATGGATGATTTGTTTTTTGGAAAACTTTCGATTTTAATCGATGGTCTAATGGTTAAGCGCTCACACGCGAGACTGATAGGTCCTGGGTTCAAATCTCGTGGGGGGAGGCGGGATCGTGGATGCGCACTGCCAAGGAGGAGTCCATAATAGGACGATATGGTCATCCAGTGCATCCAGGTTTTCCATGTTTGTCTAGCTTCAATTGACTCATGATTTCAACTACTTAATAGATATGTTACCTTCAATATTCTATCTCACTGTTATCTTTTTCTTAATTTAAAGTAAATCTTGGCTGTCCAAAGGATATCCCTGAAATATGTAATGAAATGTTTCCTACATTATATACAAGAAGTAAATGGATTAAATCTAATTTTACTGTGTGTAAGTTTAATATTTAATTAAACTATTCATCTTTATAATTATTGATTTCAATTTTACCTATACTATGAATTACACTTTCTGTTATTCATGAACTATGTTTGAAACTTATTTCTGGTAAGTGGTTGAAGGGTTAGATCGTTTACGAGATTAAAGTCGTCTAGTTTGTATCCAAGATATCCATTGTAATCTGTGCTTTCCCCGAGATATGGAGGTTTCCAGAATCCAGTCAACTATCAGGTGAAAGAAAAAAGTTGGGAGTCAGTAGCTTTATCTGACACGGATCTTCACCGGGAATGGATTAGTGAAGTGCTCTGCATGCATGACTTTGCAATGATGTCTGTCGTAAGAATTTCATATGATGGCAACCACCTTCTGACATATATCATAGTGTCAAAGAATGTTTTATAAGGTTTTTTTATCCTCACTGTTAAATGCTTTCTCGTAGCTAATAAATTTGATGTATAGTGATGAGTTCATCTACTCAACCGGTAAGTAATGATCGCTAGTGTTGGTATTTGGTTGGTAGATAGTCAGTCCTTACGAAATTCAGTCCATCGGTCTCCAAGTTAGGTGTCTACTGAGTGTTTATTCTGTTCAACAACATTCTGTGTGAAAACCTTACCGGAAATGATAGTATTGTGATGCCTCTGTAGATCTCACACTTACTAAGATCTATCTCTTTTATTTTCTCAAAAAAATTGATTTACAGGTAGTACAGTGACCTCGTAGATTCTTGAAGAGGGTAAGAACAACGAATTGATAAGAATGACATATATTCATTTTATTTCGTAAAATTCTTCACTTCAGTTAAAGGTTTATAAGTAACCCTTTCATGTTACTCCCAACTGAGTATACAAATTTACATGTACCTCTTAAAGTAGTTACATTAATAGAGAAAAAAGAAGGACCTACGTTCGATTCCAAGAACGGTGAGACTATAATTTATAAACGAATCAATCACGTATAAAATAACAGGTCTTGGATTTTGGCGCTTAATTCATTTATCCATTTGGGTAAATACAGTTTTGGTATCATCATCAATTGTAACTCATAATTCGAATTCTTCACATTGGTTTATAACCCTTATTTAGCTTAGTAAGAAGGTGGATATTCTGAAGGTCATTAAGGCGTCCCACAAAGGCAGCATTACAATAGTTGATTAATATCTATAGCTTGGGTGAATTTGAGAAGAACGGAGTGTGACTGTTGTATGATGGTGCTGAAACATTTCAATCTATTTACTTCATGCCCTGTGTCACAGAGGTGTTTTGCAATAGCATTGTTAAAATCCTTTAATCTTCATAACCTTCATAAGACGTTTTGAGATATGTTCTTGTGGTGAGACTATAATTATGGATGACCTTTGAGCAACACCAAAGTGACCTTGAGAGTATCCACGTAATAACTGGGACCAAATGAGGGTTATAAACCTGTGTAAGGAAAAGAATTATAATTTACAGTCGATGATTAAGCTTAGGAACTAGATTTTGGGGGTTCACCACGGACTGACATCTAGCTATAATGTCAAAACTCCATTTACCCAAATGAATGAATGAAAAGTCACATGTCGTATCTCAGATTGGATGATTGCCTATACTGCTACTAACGTTCCAAAAGCTTCCGAAAGCCCAGAACTATCTAAAATGCTACAAATACGAACCTTTCGACCAAAGTGTTTTTTTTTATATTTCGAGAATTTTCCCTCGTGTTCAAATTGCTGTGTATATTTAACCTGGGGGTTACCATAAGTACTTAGGAAACCGAATCTATCGTTCAATGAGAATACTTATCGAAGTGAAGTATGAGAAACTGTCTTAAGAGACTGTTTCTTTTTTTAGAAAAAAACACTGAATGAAAGTCACATTTATCAGTTTAAATGGTTGTATAGAACAACTTTTTTATCATTTTCAATTTATATTTCATTCAGAGAGGGGTTTTCTAGATAGTATAGTAGTTTTAATAGTTGAATTCATGAATCAATTGAAGCTAGACCAACATGGAAAACCTGGAGGCACTGGATGGCCGTTTCATCCTAGTATGGGACTCCTCCTTAGCAGTGCTCATCCACGATTCCACCTAGCGTGATTCGATCCCAGGACCTATCAGTCTCGTGCGCTTGATTTCGTGGATTTGTTGAAGTTAAAAATTACCACTATTGGATGCTGGCTATCTCAGTGGTTCTGAGGTTAAGCATTTGCACGCGAGACAGATAGGTCCGGTTTCCGAATCTCGTGAGGCGGGATTTTGAATACGCACTAATGAAGAGTCTAACAATAGGACGAAACGGCCATCCAGTACTTCGAGGTCTTCCATGGTGATCTAACTTCATTTGACGCATGAATTCAACTATTAAAATTTATTGATTGAGATCATGAACTGATCGATGTTAGACTACCATTGAAAACCTGAAATCACTGGACGATCGGATTCGTCCTATTGTAGGACTCCTCATCAGTGCGCATCTTCACAACCCTATACTGATAATTACCACGTGTTCACTAGCGACTAGATTCGTGAAAGGATTCTTTGAACTCTAGTGAGAAGCCATGACCAGTGGAGCTAATTCATATCGGGTAGGGACAGATATCTATCTCAGTAAAATGAAAGATGGTCGCTCAGTTTCACGGATTGGTTTAGGTTAAACATTAACATCGTTGGGTTCCAGTCAGCTCAGTGGTCTAGAGGTTAAGCATTTGCACGCGAGACCGATAGGATCTGGGTCCGAATCCCGCGAAGCGGGATTTTGGATACGCACACTACCAAGGAGGAGTCTCATAATAGGATGAAACAGCCATTCAATACTTCCAGGTTTTCCATGATGATTTAACTTCAACTATTACAATTTATATTTCATTCTTAATAACATAACTTATTCTATTTCTGTCTATATATTGTATATGAATTAATTTTAGCTGCTATAATACGTATATCTGGTACATTATGGTGGTTTGGTAAAAATGATCATTATCAACCATTATTTCGTTTTCATATATTAAAAACATTTGATTCAGATATACATCCATATGATGAAAAAATGATCTTAACTTATTCATGGCCATTAAAATGTATTTGTATAGATGAAATTATAATTGGTAAAAAATATTTAATGTTAACTCATTCATTTAAATCAAGACAAACATTACATATTACAAAGAATACTGTATTTCTATCACGTGTAAGACGTTATACAAGAAAATTGGCGGTAAGTTAAATCAATGTGTTTTGAATGTCAGTTCCTTTTCTGATTAGTACAAGTTGGTACTTGCTTCGGTTTGGGCATTCGGGGCAGTATCATCGCCCTCACATATATCAAATAAGATTTGTGTGGCGCATATGTATCTGGTGCCCCTTTGTACCGGTATTTATGAGTTCAAATAAATAAATAAAAAAATATTCATAGAATGATCATAGATCTATTGACTATGTATGTTACTTGTGATTTGTAGTCGGTTAAAGAAGTTAATTGTATAAAAGTTTGATTTCAACAACTTACTTCTGATTAATGTTCTACGGAATAGGGTTGCTAACTTCATACCCAACCCTTCTCCTTTATCTAAGCTTGGAACCGGCAGTAGATTCAGATGAACTCCAGGTGGAATTCGATTTTTGGGGATGAAATCAATTGTTATTGTTGTTGCTGTTGTCGCTTGATTGATTGATTTAGACTAAGTTGGGTTCGTAATATAAAAATATACAAACATAAAATCAATAAAAATTATCTTACTTATAAAGGATAAAAAATGTTATTGAACTATTATGAAACATCGAGATAACATTTTATTTATGTAGTTGAATTGATGAGTCAAACTAAGTTAGACCATCATGAATAAACTAAAAGCATTAGAAGGTTGTTTCGTCATAGTACGGAACTCTCCAGAAGTGCTTATCCACAGTCCTCCATTCGAGATACAAACATACAAGGCATTCGATTTTGTATGCGAAAGCTTAACCTCTAGACCATTAAGCTGAGCGGCATCCACTGGTATTAACTTCAACGAAACGGCCATTCAGTACATCCAGGTTTTCATTAGTGGTCTAGTTTAGATAGACTCGTGAATTCAACTGTTAAAATAGTACAATCTCTACAAGTCCCCATACTGATACCATAAATTTGATCTCAAATAATCCATAAATGTGAACATAGATTCGAATTAATATGATCTAAACACCATAATATTAGCAACTATCATTCTATCTTTCTGTAAATCGGAATGGTAAGAAAAAAAACTGAACGATTTATGTATCATATCAACCTATTCATCCATGAAAATACAATAATTATACATTATCGATATCAAGTAAAGTGATGATGTGATGAACGATGGAATATTTCTCACCATTCAGTTTTTTATCATGATTGTGCTTAACATATAATGAGACTATCATTTATGAAGAACCTTTGACCTATGTTAAAGCATCCTTAAGAATAGTCACCAACTAACTAGAGTTAAATGTGGGTTATAAAACAGTTTGAAGAGTAAAGGTTATGATCTTCAATTGACGGTTACAGTTAGCAATTAGGATTTTGGGGTTTTCATTACAAATTGATATGAGTTAAAATTCTAAAACCCTCTTTAATCAAATCAATGAATGAATATCACACCAAAATCCAAGACTAATTATTGTAAATCTAAATGGTTCGTCCATAAATTGTAGTCTAGTAGACTACTAATGGAACTCGGCTTTCATCATGCGGTGTCATAACTCTTCTAAATGAAGACCTTCTGACTCCCAGAGCAGAGTTTAGAAGGTTTAAATAATTTTTTTCTGGTTAGCGTTTTTTTAGCGAGTTAGTTTTCTACGGGATGGAATCGCTAACCCCATGTCCAACCCTTCTCCTTTATCTGGGCTTGGGACCGGCAGTAGCCTTCGGAAGGATTCTAGGAGGAATCCACAAGGCCAAAGGAAATGAGGAAGACCAAAGAACACATTACGCCGGGAAATGGAGATAGACATGAGTAAAATGAACAAGAATTGGATGGAACTAGAAAAGAAGGCCCAGGACAGAATGGGTTGGGGAATGCTGTTCGGCAGCCTATTCTTCATTAGGAGTAACAGGCATAAAAAAGACTACTAATGATTATGGTTATATATATATTCTTAAATAGTATTATTTTCAGTATGGGATTATGAAGACTGTTGAATTTCATTGAGATCATTAACAGAACTAAGTTAGATCATCATTGAAATCTCCACAATCCCTATATTGTCAATTACCATGTACTCAAATGTGAATACGTTCGAGAAGAAATTTACAGTGTTCTAGTTGGAAGACGTGACCAGTGAAGTTAAACTATGTTAAGTGTATTGCATTTACACTCCAAAGACAATATAAGATAGTCTTGAAATGTTGTGATTTGATTGAAGTCAGGCATTAACAGAACTGGATACTGGCTGAATGGTCTAGCAGTTTATTTATCCTGCAAATTTATTTGAACCAAGATAATGATATGATCATTTGAAGATTGAAATTGTGAAATACAACGATCTTCTTCTAGATCCATTAGAACTAAGATAATCATATGATTATTTGAAGGTTGAAATTGTGGAATATAACGATCTTCTTCTAGATCCATTAGAACTAAGATAATCATATGGTCAGTTGAAGATTGAAATTGTGAAATATAATGATCTTCTTCTAGATCCATTAGAACTAAGATAATCATATGATTATTTGAAGGTTGAAATTGTGGAATATAATGATCTTCTTCTAGATCCATTAGAACTAAGATAATCATATGATTATTTGAAGATTGAAATTGTGGAATATAACGATCTTCTTCTAGATCGTTCTAGATCAGTAATTCTTCCACTTAACATATATATATATATATTTCTTTTCTTTTCATTTTTAGTGTTGGAAAGGTGCGTGCACTATAAGATCTAGTCGTAATCGTAAACGAAGTTATTATATACAATCAAATAGTAAATTACTAAATCATAATGATAGAAAATTAAAAGAAAATTAAAAAGAAAAAAAAACGAATAAATAAATAAATAAAGGAATCAAACCCCACCTCCACCTTCACACCCACCCCCATCAACATTTTTATTAAAAACACTTATAGTAACCAAGGAATTATTGAATCTTATTCATATACTATATATTTCTCATCATGTTTTCTGGTAACGATATGAATTGTTTTTCTCTTTTTTTTGTTGTTTTTTTTATTCATTGTTTACATGAACATGAATATTCTATTGGCAACAAGAGTTGTCTATAATCAAATATAAAATTTCATTAGTTTATTGCAAGTGGTAATGTTTGTTGATTTTATTTTATTGATTTATTTCAACACATAAATACTGATATAAGGAGGCACCAAATAGATATGCACAACATAAATCATTCAATTTGTGGGGCTACATACGAAGCCTTCGACCTAAAGGTCTAATCCAAAAGGTGGTGGAGTGACGTAAGGAGATGTAATCCCATAGTAGCCAGTGACTAATAATTGTTTCATACGCCATTCGTTCTCCCAGGATCCTGGAGCCAATCCATGTGCACGAGTGGTTTGGAATCAGGGTTTCCAACTCCCCTAGGTGAACTCTCCGTGTTCACAAACCCGGTTAAAGCTCCTCTTAATTTTCTAAACAACACCCTCGCAATGATAGGGCAGTGAGTAGGACTTCCCTGATAGTGACTGTATGCACGTGGCCATGTGAGAGGATTTGGAGAGGTAGAGCTGACTCTCCCCACTTTCGACCGTACCACGGTATTTGTCATTCTTATAATGATGACAATGACTTCATCATTTTTTGTATTGGTTGTTTGAATCTTCTTATTGACTAGACATATGTTCTAGATTCCACTGGTAGCCAACATTCATCACTGCTTATAATGACTGGTTAATAAGGATGACTATTATGAAAATGATGTTTTATTTCAATGTAGGCTTGTGGAATTCTTTAGGTTAAGATTGATATCATGAATAGATAAGTGTCAGTAACACTGTTGAAACCTGGAAGTACTAGATGGAGGTTTCGTCCTAGTACAGAACTCCTCAGTAGTGAGCATCCATGATCCCGCATGTGGGACTCGAAACCAGTACCTTCGGACTCACGCGGGAAAACTTAAGTTTTATAACATTGAACTGGCAGATATCCAACGGTGTTAATGTCTAACTTCAACTAGTCCACAAAGTTAGACATTAACACTGATGGATGCCGGCTCAGTTTTCTAGAGGTTAAACGTTCGAAGATCCTAGGTTCATATCCCGTGTGGAGGACCGTGGATGCGCAATTCTGAGGAGTCTCGTACTAGGACGAAAAGACCGTCCAGTACTTCCATGTTCTAGCTTAGATCAACTCATTAATTCAACCATTAAATTTGGATTAACAACGTTATAGTTGACTACAAGTTGTTAGAATACATTCAAAAGGAAATTATATTCCCAAAATTCACAGTGGTTGACATAAAATAATTCCAAATTTCTACCCGCTAATTTAGTCCGAGTATGTCAGGAAACTTATCAGAATTAAAATCATTTAAGACAAATAAAATCACAAAGCCAATATCTAGTCATGTCCATATGGTAGATGCGGTCATGAAGTACACTCAAGAGAAGAATGTAAAACTTTACATGTTTTTGCATTCAATGACGTAGATATTTTGATCTTAGAATATGATATGCTTGAATGCTATTACGAATTTACCTTACTCGGTAAACGGAATGAGTTTCAAAGATACAGTGACACGATAAGCTATTCTAATCCGTTGCCCCCGGCCCTGCTAATTAGATCAAGAAGTCTTGATGAGACGTAGAGAATGTATTCTACAAGCACCCAGAAAATACGACGTCACTATGCACACAAATCAAGCTTATTTATACAATGATACAAACGCCCATGAGAGAGCCACAAAATAGTGTACTAAGAAATCCGTCAACGAATGACAGTCAAGGATTTCTGAGTGAGAAATGTAAGCTGTAGGTCAATTAAACATTGAATTCAAATTTCCTGAATAAAATTACATAACTAGGACCTTTTCCAAGTGCGTTCTGGGATCAAACTTCCTCAACAGAATATGAATTTCAAAAAGATGTCAACATATTTAACTTCTAACAGAATACAAATGTTATTTATTCTGAATCAATCGTATCTGATGAATGTTTCACTGGTAAGGCATATGTTTCCAAACTTTATTACTGAGATCAGTGAGACTATAATTTATGAAATACCTTAAGTGACGCTAAAGAGACCTCGAGAATGTCCACCTACATACTACGGCTAAATGAGGGTTATAAACCATTGTGAGGAATCAGAATTATGATTTACAGTTGATGGTTAGAGTTAGGAATTGGATAGATGATTTTCATAACGAAATGACATCAGCTATGACACCAAAACTATTTAGTTAAATGAATTCATTAATTTCGCGCCAAAATTCAAGACTTGTTATCGTAAATCTACTACAACATAGTTAGCAAGTTCTCTGCTTTCATATTTGTCCTTCACGTTGTTGAGTTTTTGAAATTTCGTCGGGTCATTCAAAATCAAGTTTATTTTATCAATGTCATCGGCTTTGTTCATTAGAGCTAGCCCTCCGTCTTTGTCGGCTTAATTATGATCAGAGTGTTGTCTTTTATAAGCTGGAACATATTGAGTTATTTAGTTGAGGGACAGTTACTAGTCAATCTAAATGTCTTCACTTAGATGTTGAGGAGGATAAGCATCTGTTACTGGTTTATTAGACTGGTAGTTCATATTTCCTTCATTGATTGTCGAGACCGTTATGATACGCTGTAGTAATACACAAAGTTTCACTGGAGTCAATGATTCACGATCAGCTATTTTGTTATCGAGAAAAGTGTACATAATTTCTAAGAATAGCTGTGATCTCTGGAAACTGTGAATATAAGTCAAACAAATTACCGAACACACTGTTGACACTTTAATTTCTTGACATAGGACATGCTTTATCCATTAATTTCAACAACACCAAAATATTCATGTTGTTATGATTTTTGCTCCTATCAATTAACCTTTTCTCTATGCTAAATCAATGACATGTCAACCAGAACTAGCAGTCTTGAGTCGACTCTGTATCCTTAGCAGCTCTCTTTATAGTAGCCTCTCACCTAGCCCAGTCCCTTCAGTTCAGAATAAAAATATCAGCCTTCGCTATGTGAATAGTATATTTCAGATATGTGATTTCTTTTCAAACAGACCAAACTGCATCACACCATAAAAATGAAAAATAATAATTATACAAGATCAAGCCACTAGTGTCTGTGAAAGACTGTAACTAATAGACTGGGAATCTATATACATATATAATTTAGTTAATAATTATCCAATAAGAATATATGTAATGAAAGCCCATAAATAATTCCTATCACTTGCTATTCATTTAATCTTCGTTCAGATGTAACACAGGTTATGTGTAAATAATAGATAATATAATACTCAATATAGTTTTTCTTACATCCCAATGAGTAGAGAAGTTGTATTTCTGACGTTTTCTGACTGAATATAAGTCACTTCTTCAGAGCAAACGAATAATGGAACTTTGAAGAAGTGTCTTACATTAGGTCACGAAACTTCAGAAATACATTTTTCTACTCAATGCTCAACTTATTTGAAACTATCAATATTCTTCATTGACAAAATATTAACGTGTTCTTTTCTTATTTCATTTATCACCAAATAACTGAAGCTGTAAATCAATGCTTTGATCATCTAGTTCTCAATTGTTATTATAAAATTAAGAATTTACTTTGTTCTAATCCAATTTCTGCTACTATGACTACCACGACGACGACAACTACTTCGACTAGGATTACGACGACTAGTTCTACTACAACTACTACTACCACGACCACTACTAACACTACGACTACTACTACTGGGACTACCGCGACCACTACTACTTCTACAACTAGGACTACGACGACTACTATTTTAGTTATTGTAAATCTAAATAAAAAATTAGTTCTTTTTGAAAAAGAAAGATCATATAATCAGAATGTTTGATTGAAGTAAATGATCATGTAAAATAAACAAAAAAAAACATTTTTTTTAGATCATCCGTTAAAACAAGATCTAAAGAAGAAAAAAAGGAGGCGGGGAATCAAAATGGAATCAGATTAGTTGATTTAACCGGTTGACAAAGAGAACCAATAAACGATTGTGCTGTTATAAATCCTGTTGTAATAATAACAAATTCAACATTTGCTGGAAAAAGAAAGAAAGAAAAAAGAAGAATGAATGAATGACTGGATGAGTGAGCGAGTGAAACAGAAACAAAAGAGATACAATTATTTCGATGATAAAATAAGTTTCTATGAATATTCAATATCAAAAGTGGGGTTTTATGGAGATTTTAGTAATTTTATAGTTGAGTTCATGAGTTAATTGAAGTTACACCGCCATGAAAAGCGTGGAAGCATTAGACGGCTGTTTCGTCCTATTGTGGACTCCAAATGAGAAGTCGTAACTAGTAGAGCTAATCGATGCCAGGTATCTACCTCAGTACAATGGAAGATGGTCATGAAATTTCGTGACTTGGTCGAAGTTAGACATTAACACTGTTGGATGCCGGCCAGGTCAGTGCTTTAGAAGTTAAGAGTTCGTGCGAGACCGATAGGTCATGGATTCGAATCTCGCTAGACGAGATTGTGGATGCGCACTGCTGAAGATTCCCATACTGGACGAAACGGCCGTTTCGTGCTTCCAGGTTTTCCATGTTGATCTAGCTTCAATTGACTCATGAATTGAACTATAGGATATTCAAGTTTTTACTGATGAAAATGAACAGTGTTTTCATAAAATATGAAAACTATACATTAAATACGTCATTTGCACTATTCCATCGATCGTCCTTCACATTCTTCATGATTCTTTCAAAATTCCGTTGTTATTACAATTTCTCTCTGTTTTCCTTCTTGTTCTCTTCAATTCAATCTTCTTCATTTCTTGCTGATAGGCATTCGAATTCCCATTAGTGCTACATATTACTTATATCTGTCAACATAAGCAGCATACACCACAACCTAACATACCCAATGCTCAATTTATTTGAAATTGTCAAGTCCAACTGTGGCACACTGATAAAGGTCAGCTATTTGTAAGTGTTTTAATTTTTAAAATAAAAAATATTGTTAACACAGTTTCTTTTTTTGTTGACGAATAGTCAGTCAGTCACAACGTGGGACCAGGCACATATATGCATCAGTCCAAGTTGACATACCTCATTAGCACAACAAAATGAATACCAAATGCATAGAAGTAGTTGCTTCACTAGTAGTGATATATGAAAGAAAGATTGCATATAAGTAAATGATACAAGAAGAAGGAATTAGTTCATAGAAAGGAAGGTATAAAGCAATTTTATTCTCACGGTTTAAGGGAAGATAGAGAGTGTATACACCTAAGTACGCCATTGTGATCGATTCTGGGCCATGTCACCAAGAGTCTCCAACCATTGGTTACGATAGTCACGCGGACCCCAACCAAGTAGTCTGCATCTACCAACATGGCTCAGACTAGAAGTTAGTGACTTCAAGCACTGATGTCACGTTTTTGGTTTGGTCACCCCTAACTTTCTTCCAACCATCTCCAACACCGGTTAGCATCGCACGTTGTGGTAATCGGTGTTCATGTATACGCAACATGTGGTCATAGTGTGAGTACGTTGAAGGCTCCAATGTGTAGTCTGGAGAAAGGTTTCAATAGACCTGGGATGGTGTTTTGCGCACTAGAATCGTTGACTATGGTGACACTTGAGAAGGAAGCCGAAAAAGGGAGTTTAGAGTTGAAAGTCGATGTAGGAAGAATAATAGGAATTGAAGAGGGAGGTTGATTATGAAGACGGGGATTTGAGATAAATGAAATGTATACAGCGAGTTTTTTTATCTGTATCGTACTCTTTTCCGATCCCTTTTTTTATAATCATGTTACTGACTAATATTCAGTAACTAGTTTCAATTCTAATAACTTTGAGAGAATTACTATGTTATGTCTATCTATGGTTGTGATATTTCTAAGCATTTACACAAACTTAATATTTATGATAAGTTCAACATTTTGTTCTGTACTTTTGATTTCGATAGTCTCCCACCAAACAAAGCTATAAATTGTCATATAGTTTATCGTATGTTGCTGTAAATACATTTATACAATCATTTAAGAAGGTACCTCTGATTTCACACAAATTTGGTGAATACCACAGACATCTATCACGAATTAAGGTTTGTCATGCATTTCAAATATTTCTGCAATAACAGGATTGACTTTGCAGATCATTTTCTGTCACAGTTTGACAGATTTGACGAGTCACTTAATAGTATGCTTTGAAGCTACATCACATCAACAGATAAGTTGCTCAAGTCATCATCCATACCTTAAATAATGCCAGTTCCAAAAGTTATTAGCTATGGGATTCCGATATTACCAAAATGAAAACAAACAGGATATTATTCTGTTTCAATCCGCTCAACTACAATATTATAATTCGAGGTACCAGCAAACTAGATCACTTGAAAATATTCCACTTAAATTGAAACACGCGAAAATAAAAAAACGATCACATTAATATTGAACCTATAGTAACTTACCATCTTCACTAGCAGCTATAGTTCTTAAAGCTGATATTTCTGCATGACTCACACCGCCAACAAAACCAACGACTACAATACGCGGTTTATTCGGATGATTTTTCATATTTAAACAACCGTTTTTGGACGTGAAAGGTAAATCATCTCTAACTGGTAGTTGTACTTTAAATTCTGGAGCACATATTAAGTTAGTCAGTGAAGATGTTGTACGATTAGAAGTTGCAGTTAACGAATTGTTCGGAAGAAAACCATTAGTTTTCTCTGCCGTCGGTGTTAATGTTGCACGCTGTTTAATTCAGGTACATTGCGCTCATTAGACTCTGGTAACACAGACATTTCCAAACTCTCTGAAGATCTAAGGCCTGAAACTATACGTGTAGCCTTAGACAGTAAAAAAGCCCCCGAACCGCCACCGGTGAACGTAGTTTGATCTGTTATACCTCTACTTGTTAATGATAGATTAGGTTTAGGATACCAATCGTTTGTCCATATTTGAATAAGACGAATAGATATAGGGATATAACCGGAAAACAAACTAGATGCTGCTTGCTCAGAGTCATTCACTGAATTGGAATTAGGCGGTACAACAAGGCGTAGGTTTCCTTTTAGTACTGAATTATAACTACTACTTATGTTAATAATTGTTTGTTTTAGGTTCGCTGACAACTTTGACGATGACAGGCTATTATTTCTTGAATTGATTTTTTCTTGGGGTGTGAAACTTGATGTTTGTATACTACTCATTAGACTATTAGGAGATTCATAAAGCAAACCTACACGCTCCAAATTATCCAGTGTGAAAATATGCTCAAAACCGTAGACCTTAAAAAGTAGGAAAAAATTCAAAAAACATGATCCGAGTATGTATGATTATTCAATTGTTAGTTGGTTACATGATTTTACTTGACTACTGTTCATCACGATGGGCAGCCATACAAAAACTTATATATCTATGGTTTAAGTGCAATTTACTCATTATTTATTATTTTAACTCACAAATATTGGTACAAAGGGTCACCGAATACATATGAATCACACAAGTCACTTGGTTTGTGTGTGGGCTGTGATACTGACTGCGTGCCTAAATCGAAGCAGGTGGTTTCCTTAGGGAGCCACTCCCCCAACCTTTGACCTAAAGGTCTGATCCACAAGGCAGTGGAGCAACGTCAGGATATGGTGTCCCATGGTAGCCGGTGACTAATAATTGGTTAATACGCCATTTGTTTCCTCAGGATCCTGAAGCCTATTGGTTTGGGATCAGGGTTTTTCAAATCCTCTAGGTGGATTATCTACATCCATCAACCCGAGTAAAGCATTTCTCATATACATTTCTGTGCTCTAATCACGCTGTGCTACTTTCTATATCAATAGACACAGATGTTTTATGGGAAACACCTTTCAAATACCTTTCAACTACTAAGGCACACAATGATAGATTACTTAGCATTATAGAGTATGAGATAATAAAATACATGAGACTCTTTACTATCTATAAAAAATTTATACTGAAAGAGTGAAGATTTCCTCATGGAACAAAATAAGACTATTTTATTAAAATGCTTCATCGTAAAATAATAGAAAATATGAGTTTATTTGAAGGTCAAGATTATGCCATCAAAAAAAGAACTGAGTAAAGTCTACCAGTTTATTAGAGACTTAATACAGTATCATTTCTGTCTAAAGAAATTGAAGTGGTTAGAATGATTTTGGGATCCTTTTTTCAACTGTTAATTAGGAAATCATTTGTCTGCGACTATTACACAAACAGCTTTTCATTCAACATGCAAGTAATGTGAGAATGTGAATTTATACACATTTTCTATTCCATCTGGTCTATGATGTCCTCCAATAAGTTAAAGGTTATCACTATGTCCGGCTATATACTGTTCATTAAATAAGCTAAACATTTAGATTCACTTGGTGTTTCTTGTTTGTATCTTTTCTATTACTGTTTAGGACTGCAATTGATCAGTCACTTATTGGCATTTGTGTATCCTGTGCGGATCACCTCCATATTGTGTTTTTAAGCAAAGATGTATAGTGGCAAACAGTGGAATCCAGGACGCGCGTTTCATCCTACTTGGGACTGGTCAGCTGGATGTACCTGTATTCCACAGTTGATGTTCACTCTGGGATTCGAACCCCGTACTATTCGCTTCAAACGCCATCGCGTTATCCACTTTGCTTATTAAGCTAAACATTATTTTCAAAACTTTCGACACATGTTTGATAAATATTCAAATTATATCTAATCAATTATTTTACAAATAACGTGAAAGCACTGAACGGTCGTCTTGTCTTAGTATGGAACTCCTCGGCAGTGCGCATACTAGGATGAAATTGACCATTCACTACTTACAGGTTTTCAATGGTAGTGTAATATCAATCGATTCATAAACTTAATCAAAAACTTAACCATCTTCACAAACCCATACTGATAATTAAAATAACCCTTAAGATCTGGATAGTCTTAATATTCAGTTGAATGAATGAATCATACGTATATAGATACACATCTAAACTCACTTGTATTATTTCATTTTTATAATAGTCTAAAAGTCGTTGCTTTAAGCCTCCATTACAAAATGATTGAATGCAAATTAGACGAAGAACCTTAAGATAGATAAAGGAAAATGATAGAAAATGAAAGAAATCTCCAATAGATAAACAAGAGATTAGTAAGTAAATAAGTACACATTACTATGATGGACTAATCAAAATAACACTAGATCTAATATGACAACAATAACAACTTCAAAATTGCTTAAAATGAAAAAACAAAACAACAACAACATTGTAGTGATTACATATATGAACTTAGAATAACTACTTAACTGTAAACAATCATATCGAATAAAAACTAAATTTCCCATTGATAATGTTCAACTTAACGATCCCTGATTATCAGAATACTAATAAAGGAATTAGCCACACAGATGACTTGGTACGGCTGAGAGTGAGAAGAGTTAACTCTACTTCTCGAAATCTTCTTACATGGCCACACATATACAGCCACTGTCAAGGAATTACTACTCATTGCCTTTGTCAATAAGGGTGTTGTTTACGAAACTGAGAGGATGGAAAGCGAATAACCGGGACTTTAAGTGGGTTAATGGACAGCGAGAGTCCACCTAAGGGAGTTTTAAAAGCTTGATTCCAAACCAATGGTATACATAGTCTTATGAACCTATTGTTGTTCACTGTCTACCATAGGACTGCATCTCCTAACGTTCCTTTACTGCCTTGTGAATTAAACCTGTAGGTCAAAAGCTGGAGGAATGGTCCTCTAAGAAAATCACCTGCTTCGATTAGTGCACATGGTAAGTATTTCAACCGTTACACAAACCGAATAATTTGTATGGCGCATATATAATTGTTGTCTCCTTTATTTATTATTTTACTGTAACACATAGATATTGATACAAGGAGGCACCAAATACATATGCGCCACACAAATCTCATTTGATATGTCCGAGGGATGTGATACTGTCCGGGTGCCCAAACCGAAGCAGGTGGTTTTCTTAGGGGACTACACCGGAGCCTTCGACCTGAAGGTCTGATCCACAAGGCAGTGGACCAACGTAAGGAGATGCAGGCCCATGTTAGCCGATGACTAACGATTGGTTCATATGCCATTCGTTCCTTCAGGATACTGGAGCCCATGTGCACCATTGGTTTGGAATCAGGGTTTTCCAACTCTCCTAGGTGGACTCTCCATGTTCACCAACCCGGTTAAAGCGCCGAACATTCGCTTTTCGTCCTCTCAATTTCGTAAACAATAACCTCGCCACGAGAAGGCAATGAGTAGGACTTCCCTGGCAAAGGCTATATACGCGTGGACATGTGAGCGCATTTCGAAAGGGAGAACGAACTCTGCCCACTCTCGGACATACCAGAGCATTTGGGGGCTCCTTGCACTTAGTCATCAAAGAATTATCTGAAAAAAAACTGATTTATTTTGAAACGCTAAACTAGTTTCGCAAGAGTTATTTAACCAGGATGTTTTTTTAAAGAAAAACGTACTGAATATAAGAATGTTTAAAAGTGGGAGTTTCAAGCTCGGATAATCGGCTCAAATTAAAAAAACACATTTTAATGTTAGTTATTCTTAACGATATTTTTTGACTACTTTCTGATAATCAACTTGATTACAAATAAAACTACAATATTTTAGTCAATGAGTTAAGGTAAATAGATAGCTGAAGTTTAACGTTTTTCTTTCAGATTTTTAACTTCATCTCTTTTATTGCAACCTGAATCTTAAGATGAGATAATTGAAGGAAAAATCAGAATTTAAACTTTTTATTCTAGTTTCTCGTTACTTCTTGTATTAATTGATAAGGAATGAAACGACAGCAAGCATACTCTTTTGCAATCCACTGACGAGTAAAGCTCTAGTGGATTACTTAAGGCCAGGTTCAAAAGTCATTTGAGATTAATTGAAACGGTCAACCAATCACAGCCAGAGAACGACCAAACAAAAGAGTATACAGGGAAGAAAGGACACTCAATGATAATAAAACTTGGAGAGACAAGCATTATATAGCAGTGCCGTTAAAACGGACTAACTTCAGTACCTGTCCAAGAATTAAAAATATCACTCCTACTTGAAATAGGTGGAATGTTTATAACTAAAAAATCTAGGTCAGAAAACTTCAACGTGCTTTAGAAAGGTCAATAAATTTTCATCTGCACCGGTTTTATGTGTTCTTAACTTTTATCGTGCGCACTTCAGTAGTTCATGATTTCAAAAATTGTCGACAGAACCAGCAGATACAAGAAACGGTCAATCAAAAGTTCTACTTAAGTACCTTACTGTTTGACCTGGTCTGTTAACTTAAGTATTAAAACTAATTGCTGCAATAATTAAGCTAATGTACCAAGTTTGTGAATGTGGGAGAGATTTCGATAAAGCTCATCATCTGTTTCGGTTGAGCTGAGAGCTAAGGAGAGGACTACGTAATGGGAACAACAAATTTCTTAATCATTTGGAGTTCTTACCAATGCTATTCAATTGGATAGTATAACTTAGTGTCTGCTAAAATCTGATTTAGAAATACTTGTTTAGCTTCTGAACGTGCTGCTGTTAGTACAAATTCGAGAACACAATAATTCGATGCCAAGTCTGAAAATACCTGGAGTACACTACAGCAGTTAAATGAGGTCAGATGAATAGCCATCAAAGTAGCCAATGTCCAGATTTCAAAGGCAAAGTTTATGCTCATGACAGGAAACTCTAAAATGATGGCCAATGGATTTCCTTCAGGGTTTGGATGAAGGAAGATCAGGGTAGCGTTTTGTAAGCTTAACCAACTAGTACTGATTACAAATGAAGAAAATGAAGGTAATGAGAAAAGTTGGGCAACAAAAACGTATGTCACTATATGGGATATGTGGAGACCATTGAATGTTATGAGGTCACGGCCAAACTAAGCTGAACACCCACTGGAAACCAGTAAGTACTGAGCAGCTGTTTTTTCTAAGTACGGACTCCCCTGCAGTAGTATCCTCAAGCCCATTGAAGACTGAGCCCAGGATCTTCAGTTAATTCACGACATTGTTCGGTCATTTCACATTGTCTTCGTTGAGCAACTGACTTACACTCAATACCTTTGAACTCCATTAGTCACAGTTTGTCACTAGAATTGTATAAATATTCTTCTCGAAGCTAGTCAATAGTGTGAACATGATAATTATCATGTAGAGGCTTTTTGAGATTGTTGTATGTCATTGATATCACAAGACTGACCTAAATCCAGCAATTCCTGGTTTTCAATAAATGTCTAACATAGATCTGTTCGTGATGTCAATAATACTACTGTATAGTTTAGTGACTATGAGAAAACATTATTAAATAGAAATTAAAAAATTGTTAGATATATTGTCTATGTACCTCTTCAATAGGTGCACCTCTCAAAATACATTCTTCAATGAAAGGATGTGCTTTATCTGTTTCGTAGCCATTAATAAAATCTTATTAAATAAGAAAAAATAATAATAACAATCATAGCAAATCGCATAAATGATATGACAGCGTATAAAATATTAATGATTAATGAACTAATTATTGTAGAAACCCATATTATTTGATGTTGGTGCTTTAACTAGGTTAGTGGATATGGAAGGTCCACCTAGAGGAGTTGGAAAACCCTGATTCCAAACCAATGGTGCACATGGGCTCCAGGATCTTGAAGGAATAAATGGAGTATGGACCAATTATTGGTCACCGGCTACCATGGGACAGCACCCCTTGACGTTGCTCCACTGCCTTGTGATCAGATCCTTAGGTCTAAACTCCGGATGTGGCCCTCTAAGAAAACCACCTGTCTCGGTTTAGGTGCCGGGGCAGTATCATAACCCTCACACAAATCAATGATAACTACTACTGGCCTCACTGTTATTATGTATTTGGTGCCCCCTTGTACCAACGTTTATGTGTTCAAATAAAATAATTCGTATATCATATTGTCTTTATAACCGGTAGACTGTAAACTACCATGGCTAATTTACAAGATGATTTGAATGTATTAATAACAAAAAGCATTAAAAAATGGGATTAATATTACAAGTCTGTAAATTTTATACACATGATAAGATAGATCTAAACATGTATGATATGTATTTTGATTAAACAGTAGTTTTACTTGAAGGCCGTTTCGTCCTAGTATAGAACTCTTCAACAGTGAACACCCACGACCCCGCAAGGAAGGGGTTCGAAATCAGGACCTTCGGTCTGGCGCGTGAACGCGTGACTCATCAGCCGGAATCCAACGGTGTTAATATCTAACTTCAACCAATGCACGACCAATGAGCGACCGTTCATCGAATCACAGGCGAATCCAATAAATTAAGGGAAGGTATATTAATACTTTTAATCTGGGAATACAATAGTTCTTCTCAAATTATGTTATCTGTACCTTATCGATTATCTTGTTTTCAATACTATTATTCCTTCTGCTATTCTGAGATCTTTCTTAATAATTTCATCCAACTGTACTGATATTATGTGAAAACTTCAACTGAAATAAATATGTCACAGATTCTACGATGTTTATAAGTGACTGATATTTATTTATAGTTTTCATATACTCAATGATCTTGTTGAATCACTTCATTCACATACCTCAATAGCATACACTGTATTGAATAATTGATGTCACTTATTAAGCTAAAATGTCGGTTTCTTAATTTCAGTAAAGTCAGAATTTTAGTACAGATGTCAAGACAGTTCTACTCTGTGGGGTGGAAACTTGGAGAATTAAGAAAGCCATCATTCAGAAGATATAAGTGTTTATTAACAGTTTTCTACGCAAAATACTTAGGATTTGTTGGCCAGACACTATCAGCAACAACTTAATATGGGAGAGAACAAACCAGATCCCAGGAAGAAGTGATGGAAGTGCACAGGACATACATTGAGGGTAGCACTCAACTGCGTCACAAGGCAAGCCATCACATGGAATCCTCAAGGCCAAAGGAGAAGAGGAAGACCAAAGAACATATTACGCTGAGAAATAGAGACAGATATGAGAATAATGAACAACTATTGGATAGAACTAGAAAGCAAGGTCCAGGACAGAATGGGCTAGAGAATACTGGTCGGTGGCCGATGCTCCATTGGGTGTAATAGGTGTAAGTAAGTAAGACGATTCATTAAAAAGTTCTCATTCATAAAAATATCAATCACATTAACGTTGCTTAAAGCACAAAAGTACATGTAATATAAATAAAAAATGGAATTTCACAAAAACGCATAGAACATTACCCTGCTGAGCTCTTAAAATTGATAAGAAATCATCAGTGCTCACATATTTTTGTATTTCTTCTGCGAGTGAAGTATCTAGAAGAAGGTTATTTACATAGAAAAGTAACAGTAAACTAAAAATAGAACAAATTCGTTCGGTCTATTAAAAGATTATAGTCAGTAAACGGTAATTAATGTTTATAAACCAAGAAATACGGGATAGTCTAGTCTAACAGTGGAAATCTGTTACTTTTGGGGTTCTGCCGCCTTACTAGATGATGGTTTTATTATCACAAACTTACTGAAGTTGAAAATAAAGACCGTTTAGAATCTGACTTTGTAGTATATAAGTATTGTGTTTACCGATGCCCCCAAACACCCTGGTATGGCCGAGAGCGGGGTGGGTTCGCCCTTCCTCCCGAAATACTCTCACACGGCCGCGCGTATACAGCTTCTGCCAGGGAAGTCCTACTCACTGCCTTCTCGTGGCGGGGGTGTTGTTTACGAAAATGAGAGGACGGAAAGCGAATGTCCGGCGCTTTAACCGGATTCCAAACCGATAGTGCACATGGGCACCAGTATCCTGCGGGAACAAATGGCGTATGAACCAATGGTTGGTCACCGGCTACCATGGGACTGCATCTCCTTACGATGCTCCACTGCCTTGTGGGTTAGACCTTTAGGTTAAAGGCTCGGGGTGTGGCCCCCTAAGAAAACCACCTGCTTCGGTCTGGGCACCCGGGCAGTAACTCAGCCCACACGCAATTAATGAACTGAAATTGTGTGGCGCATATATGTTTGGCGCACTCCTGTACCAATATATATGTGTTCAAATAAAATAAATAAATAAAGATGGACCCAAAGGTCCAAGGTACTATGTGAGGTAAAGAAATGTAAGAGAGCATTGACGAGGAGTCATAAACTGGAACAAAACAGTCATTCAATGCTACTAAATTTTTTTTAATTTCCAAGTGACGTTGGTCCATGATTAAAACTGACCTTCAAAAAATGCTGAGAGAAATCGATAAGTCGACTGTTTAAAAACCAGTAGTATTCTGGAAAAAAAGGACTTACGTATCTCCAGCTGTGATTGTTTTGAGCGAATTTCGGGAATCCGACTAACGGCAACGCGTAAATCGGTTAGTTCTTTGGCTGACTTGGATTGCTTGAAATGTGTATATAAAACAGAAGAATTCTACAATTAACCACTGATAAAATGGAAGAAACATAACACAATACACATCTAGCAGCTTTAGTCCATTATTTACTGTACACAAAAAATTTAATGAGATTAATTTGGTTATTACATCTTCTGGTGTCCCATATGCAACATGCTAACATTTCACTAAAGATCATACATACAACTAAAAAATAATCTTCAAGGTTGACGTGATCAATAAATTCATTTACAAAAAAGTGTGTATATAGTGGTGGGGTTTTATTCTCTGAGCTGGATGGTTTAGTCGTGGAGCTTTCATCGTTATTCCGAATGACATCGTCACAAACCTCAGGCAGAAGTGAAGTGTTCGAACAGAGAACAAAGAAAAAACGAATCTATGTCATTTGCATGATAGCTCGATGGCTGTTGTCATCCATGACGTGTTGGTATTTGTGGATCCTGTAGTGTGCATCAGTTATCGTTAGGTGTACCCTTTTTCTTCCACTTTGTTCAGCTATTCTACATCTCATTGGGGAGTTGATTGGAGCTCTGTATCTTAAACACTTCTTGTTGTTCGAAAATGAGAAAATTTCGCCAAAATAATGGCTTCCACCCGAGAAAAACTGTCTTTTGTCCGAGAGTGTCTTCGTCAGCACGTTCTGCCGACAAGTGTAAGAGAGAACAGAGAAAAAAGAAAAAACTAATCAATATTTCAAAACCACCCACAGAAGAAAATACAAATGCACGGTCAACCTGTCAAAGCAACCTCTGATAAACATAGAACATCTGCTCTGAAACGAATTGAACTACAATACAAGTGACGCCTCAGAACTAGAATTCATCACAGCACTAGTCATCACTCAAAACTGACGGAATAAGTGAAGAAACGCAACAGGAAATAAGACGAAGTATAGTACCGCTAACTCCATGGAAGAAAGACAACACCCAACTGACCTCCCAAGAACAAAAAGCCTTAGAAAAAACTCAGAACTAGAGAAGATATTGTCATAGTTCCAGTAGGCAAAGGATGCACTAGTGATTATGAACAAGGAACAATATATCAGGAAAACTGAGGAACTACTTAAGGATGAAAGCGTATATAAACCAATGAACACAAATCCAGTCAAAAGTTCAGACAACTAGATCTTAAGGACTTTAATCAAGCTTGTCAAAGCAGGACAAATATCAAGACAAGATCAATGAAGAATGAAACTCAATAGACCACTACTCCCTCGATTCTGCAGTAGACCGAAAATACGCAAACCAAACATCCCACTACGTCCAATTGTGGCACTCCCCGGAACCCCAACATACAATTAGTCAAGAAAATTTTCACGAATATTGAAACACTTAGTGAATTCATCTAATCACTCCATCAAATCTCCCGTACAATCCGTGAATAAGATTAAGGATATTCAAATCAACAACGACGAAATGATGATATCCTTGGATGTAACAGCCTTATTCATCTCAATTGAACCAAGCTTATCAAAGGAAACTCTATCCCCGCTCCTCACTAACGACGCAGTCAACTTCACCGAAAATATCAACCAAATGCACCAGCAGAAACAAAATCAAGTACAGAAACCAACAAACGGATCATTGAACCATATATAAAAGACATAAGAAATTACGAGATTATTGAAGCCTTTTGGAATAGGTGTAACACATAAACCAACACAATCACTTCAATCAATCCTATGCAAACCAAAGGACGAAATGGCAAAAGAAAACCGAACATCATCTACAAAATAAATTGCTCCAACTGCGAAAAACACTACATCGGACAAAGTGGATACCCTCTTCACCTTCGCCTGCACGAACACCAATTAGCGATCAAACGCCATGACGTATACTCACCTATATCAATGCATATGTGGACAACTGTGGACATACCCTCGACTGGTAAAATGTTGAGATCTTGGATAGAAGGATTTCTAAAAACATCAGCGAATTTTTAGAAGCTTGGCACTCAGGTCAATCGGCAATCAACAAACACATTGAACTCGATCCAATCTATCAACCAATCAAAAAAATCATGGACAAATATAGAACCAAGAATCAAATCAATGGGAGATACAATCGAAATAAAGAAGTCAACAGTAACACGTTAAAGGTCAACAATAACCCGTCAAGATCAAGGTCGACAAGACAAACCGTGTCATATGTGGAGAAATTCTAATACTTAATTCTGTCATGATGTCGTTCAAAATAAGGATGAAAGCTCCACGATCAAACCATTCAGCTTAGAGATTAAAAATCCACCGAGATCATCCACCTCAGCTACAAATCTTCTTAACCATTTCAGTATGTAAATAGTAGCTATGAATTCGTGTACACAGCAATGAATTATTTGAATTTAAAGAGCTTTATTTGTGTAACGTTAGTCTATTGGTTCAAGTCCTCTACTCTCAATTACCACGTTGCTGAATAGGGCCTACGTTCCAGAGACTTTAGGCAAAAACCTAGTATCATTAACCCTCCTGTATAAGGTGTTAGTCAAAGATGAGTACATTAGGCCGTAATTTGTTATTAAAGTGCGAAAATTAAACCACGATTTTTGCCAACGAAAAGTTAGCTCCGATGTTGATATATTGTTTCATAATAATAACCAATGGTTAGCGTATAACAGTGGCTTTACAAGAAAACTAGGAAAATGAGATCAATCAAAGTGCATTATACGGAACGCCTTGGATATGCATAATTTGATAACTAGTTTTAATAAACACTCTAGACTATCATTTTTAAGGTTGGCTTGCCCTACACATCATTGCTTCAGGTTAGTTATAGTCTTTACAATCTAAGAGCTGTCAATAATCCATTTAGGCTTTTGGATTAACAGCCAGTAACTATAAAATAACCGCAGGTCAGTTGAATCATTATTTAGTGTTCCAAGCATTTTTTTTCCAGTCTCGCATAGTTGCTCATGATTCTTATGAAGACATTTCTAAGTCTACATTTATGCGTTATCTTTATTCCTAATTACATTCAGAGATCTTACATCAAGTTGCTAGATCACATATCATCTGATCTAATTTATCAGTTCTCAAAATAAGAAAACTACATTCATATAACTTACAGTAACAAGTGTAGAAATTTCTTTAGTAATTTTTGATAGAATTAAACCAACTTCAGAAAATTTTCGATCTCTTATTTCAGTATATACTAAATCTGAAGAATTTAATAAGAATTTTTTGGAAGATTCATTTTCAGATTGAAAACATGGTCGACAAATACCTATAAAAATAGAAAAAAATATATTAACAATTCTAACTGAATAAAGAAAAATCTAGTTAGGATAACAAAATCAAATCAGTGCTTCCAGGTTTTCCATGGTGGTCTAGCATTAATTGACTCATGATTTCAACCTGTGAAATTTCCAAAAATCGCCACAAAACCCATTCTGATAATAATCATCTGCTCACTAATGACTGACTTCAGGAGACACTCCTGGAGTTCTAGTGAGAAGTTGTTACCAGTAGAGTTCAACCAGGTCTGTTGTGAGATAGGAACTCACTGAAGACAATGATGTACGGTGACGCAACTTCGTGGATTGGTTGAAGTTAGACATTAACACCGTTGGATGCCGGCCGACCAGCCGGCTCAGTGGTCTAGTTGGTTAAGCGCTTGGCGCGAGACTGATAAGTCCTGGGTTCGAACGTCGCGGGAGGCGGGATCGTGGATGCGCACTGCTGAGGAGTCCCGCAATAAGACGAAACGGCCGTCCAGTGCTTCCAGGTTTTTCACGGTGGTCTAGCTTCAACTGACTCATGATTTCAACCAGTGAAATTTCTAAAAATCTCCACAAAACCATTCTGATAATAAAAATCACATAAATAAGAGAAAAATCCCAATATAAACAGATCTTTATTATCTTTCTGCTTATAAAAAGTCATTTTCATTAAAACTTTACAACATTAATAATTACAAACAATAATGAGTTACTATTATTACCATGGAAGGGTTCTTCTAAAGGTGCCTGAAAAGGAAGTTGGATTAGAGGTGGTCTTAGTGACCTGAGAGCGTGACCGCAGTGCCCGAGGGACAACTGCTTGAGGTCGGTCACACACGACCTTTTTGTGAGTAGTTTTCTTGTTAGCGCCGTACTTGTTGAGACCTTACCGCCGGAGACGGATATCCGTGGGATAAGGCGAGGTGTGCATTTTTAGGGTCGACCTTTTCTAACCCCACCCCTCCATGTGGGAAGGCAGCATTGCTGTTATGCTGGTTGTCTGAAGGAAACACCTTACCGCTGTCACACCTCTGTACAGTCAGCTGTACGACTTCGCTTCGGACCTTGAGTTGCTGCTTTTAGTCTTACCGTTCTTTAACCGACCTTTTTGGCATAGTAGGACCTTGAGAAACGATTATTCCAGCTAGTATATCCCAGTTGCTTTAACACGGTAGACAAGCCCGACCGCCGCGTCAAGGTAGCAGCAAAGGTCGGAATCAGACTTTCAAGATAAATGAAGTTGTCAACGCATTCGACTACTTTACTCTCCATCCTTAGTTCAGGTTTGACGCAGGCCAGTCCTGAAGCAACAACTTGCATTTAGAGGGGGAGAAGCGCATCCGTGATCAGTTAAAAATCTTTTTAGGCAAAGATAGATAGTGGCTAACAGTGGAATCCAGAACGCTGGACGTTTCGTCATATTTGGGACTCATCAACTGGATATACCCTGCATCTCAGCGTTGCTGTTCACTCCGGGATTCGAACCCAGTACCGTTCGCTTCAAACGCCATCGCGTTATCCACTTAGTTAGTGAGTCTTGATGGACACCTGCGTGTGAAATGGGGTGAAGTTTAAATTCACTTGGTGTTGTTTTACTAATATCTTTCGGTTGTTATTTAGGAATCAGTAACTAAGTGGATAACGCGATGGTTCTATAAGCGAACGGTACTCGGTTCGAGTCCCGGAGTGAGCATCAACTCTGGGATGCAGGTACATCCAGCTAACGAGTCACAAATAGGACGAAGTGTCGCGCGTCCTGGGTTCCACTGTTAGCCACTATCCATCTTTGCTTAAAAAGCTTGTGACTTAAGTTAATATTGATGCAATACGCACAATATGCACCTATGCCAACAAGAGACTGATCAATTGCAGTCCTAAACATCAATGGAAAGATTCAAGTAAAACAACACCAAATGAATTTAACAGCTAACTATTTAGAAGGATCAGTGAAAACAGAATAGCTATTTACTAATCAAATGTGACACCAAATTATAAACTATTGATTATCTAATTACATGAAAAATTAATTACTGTGACTATAGTAATAATAATGATAATAGCACTGTTTAGTTACAATTTTTAGTACTAATTATGCAATATCGAAACAAATTTACGCTTAATACACATTTAAAGTGTAATTGTTCAAAAGGGTTTTTTACGAATGTTTTTAGTAGTCTACAATCGATTTGAATGTCACACTTTCGTGCCAAAAGCGACCAGTTTTAGTTTCAGTTTGTGCTTCCCACTTAGAAGGACCTAAAATATTATTGCTTCATTGTTTCTTTTAGTACGCTATTTTATAACATTTTTGTATTGTACATACACATATATGAGTTGTGTGTTTGTTTGTTTGTTTTTCCTTCTGTGCTGATTATAGAATTATATGTTTTCTCGCCTGAATCAGGTCTTCTTCCGTTGGTTAACAGGGCTGGCGTGCAGAGGAATAGCTTAGCTTGTCCTGTTATTATGTTGCTGACCTCTATTCCGTTTATGGTAATACTAAATCATATGTTAAGAGTTAGTTCTGAGATGTAATAATATGATGGAAATGTCCAACAAGATTTACAGAGATAAAGAACAACAGATAAAAACTGTTGTATTACGGAAAGTGGTGTAAAGTAAGTTACTAAAATAACGGGTTACAGAGAAGTATAGCAGATACAACGATTATGATAACAGAAATATTGTAAGTCATCAAGTAATGGGTGATGGAAATTTCAGGTGTTTGGTTGTGAAAGATAAAAACATAACATTAACAAACCATCTTACTATATGATGTTACTTAGAATCAAACTGTGTCACTAGCACTTCCCAAAAGGTGATTTATGTGCTATTTGCTTAAATAAAGTGAAGGTTTAGTCATGACAATCGAATTCGTGACCAAAACGATGTTACTCATACACTTTAATTGCAACCATAAAGATTACTATTTAATTTAGCTGTAATTTGATTAAACGAAACGTTTAAGCTTACCAAAACGAATACCCCATTTCTCATCAACTAGTCCCGCATACGTTAACTGATTTAACAAAGGAGTTAAAGGATCAACAGCTCGATCAATAAGAATTAATAATTCAGTTTGGCTTTCAATTTCATCTAATGCAGTGACTGATGGTTGATGTTCATTTGTAACTTTGGCTTCATCAGACATACGCCGCAACATTTTGGCCACTCCCTAAAGAATGAACGTATTTGAAATAAATATAAATAGATGTAAATGTATCTATACGATTTATAACTTGGAATATATCAGAAAAGGTTATTTAGTTATTAATTTTGCTGAGATTTTTACATACTACTGATATTGTTTGTGAATTCGACAAAGCAGTGAGAAATATTTAAACATTTTGATGTATATAACATTAAAACATTTAACAGTTGAATTCATGAATCAATTAAAGCTAGAACATTATGGAAAACCTGGAAGCATTGGACGGCCATTTCGTTCTAGTGTGGGACTCCTCAGCAGTGCGCATCTATGGTAACACCTCGCGAGATCCGAACCCAGGACCTACCAAATTAGCGGTCAAGTGCTCGAGCGTGAGACTGATAGGTCCTGGGTTGGATTCTCACGAGGTGGGACCTTGGATGCACACTGCTGAGGAGTCCCATACTACGACGAAACGGCTGTCCAGTGCTTCCAGATTTTTCATGGTGATTTAACTTCAATTGATTCATGAATTCAACTACCAAATTAATAAGATATCTACAAAAACCCTTCTCTGATAATAAGACATTTTTCAAACAAAGTGTTAAAATACGAAATGTCACTATTTTTACAACTTCAGAACTTTATAATAGGTTTACACTATTCAAAAAAACAGTACAATTAGTTTTACAAAAAGCATATTAGATATAACTCCGTATATTGCTTAATACTTACTTACTTACTTACGCCTTTTACTCCTCGTGAAGGAGCATAGACCGCTCACCAGCATTCTCCATCCAACCCTGTCCTGGATAATCCTTTCCAGCTCTTTCCAATTGTTATTTATCCTTTTCATATCTGATTCTATTTCCTAACGTAATGTGTTCATTGGCCTTCCTCTTTTCCGCTTCCCTTCAGGATTCCAAGTTGGGGCTTGCCTCGTGATGCAGTTTGACGATCCGCCTGTAGCTCTTCTAGAGTTACTGCCGGTCCCAAGCCCGGGTAAAGGAGGAGGGTTGGGCATGGGGTTAGCGTTCCCATCTCGTAGAAAACTACCTCGCTAAAAAACGCTTACCAGGAAAAATTGCCTAATACACATACATTAAATTGATATACTAACGCATTAAGTTTTATATGAAACTCTATATAAATAATCACTTACTATGGCCTTTTCACCTTTAGCATAAATTTTTGGGAACAGACCAAAATTGATTGAAATCGCATCAAACCTTGTACAAATTGATAGACACCATCTGACGTTCGGAAATGGAGTAATTCTAGATGAAAAATATAATCATTGGATATGGTAAAAGAAATACAAAGACAAACAGCAAAACATTGTGAATCTTCCATTGACAGAACATCACATTCTACAGGTACTATTGTTAGGGGAAATTCAGATATCATGGCAAATTTATTGGTCATCTTTTTTTCTTTTAAAAAACTTTTACAAGCAAGGGAAATCCTCGGAATAGCAATAATACTATATTGCTTTCCAGCACTTTGGTTGGATTGTGAATCTCTATTTTTAAAATAATTAAAAAAGATCACAGAACACTACTTACCTTACTAAAAATGATTGTACAGAGTCAATAATACTAACTTTTGGACTTATAATGAATATTACAGATTTACACGCTGAAGGAGAATAGGAATCTTTAGCAGATTGGAGAAGAAATGAATTTATAACACCATGTTTCTAAACGTTTTTAAAGATTATAAACACTATCAAAATTACTTTCAAATCCGAATTGTTTACACAGAACTCATATGGGCTAACAGATCTTTCTCCCAATATATAACCTACAATAGATTAAACACAATATCTACGTAACATTATACCTTAGGTGAAGGTTGAGCATCGATGTAGCTGAAAAACTCGTTCTGATAGCTTTCACGCAACAGGTCTATATTCAAAGGGCCTTCTGTAACATGAATCATAGCAGTTACAAAGTGCTATTTGTTGACTTGTTCTACTGAAGTAATATTTCTGAAAAATAAAGAGAATTGATTTAAAGATTTATGCCTAAGATATCAAGAAAAAGAAAACATTGGAGGGACTTGGAACATGTGAACCGAGAATGGATCAAGACAAAACAAGCAAACAACAACTTTTTTAAACTTACATACCGGGTGCACAATGTGTGACGGTTAATGATAATGCCTAATCGAACAAACCCAAATGAGTCAAACTTTAACTTGTGACCTAGTTGTTGAAAACGACAGTAACTGTTACATTGGCGTAGTGGTTGAGCTTGGAGATCGTAATAATCCAACTGAGCTGTATTGGCTGAAACACCTGTTCCTATGAGTTCCACCACTCCAAACAGCAAGGTTGGAGAATGGTAAGATTAAAAGCAGAAAACTCTGGGGCAAAGTTCTACTGATGACGGTACAGGGGTGAAATGGCAGTAAGGAGGTTCTCTCGGATAATCAGCATGTGCAGCAAATATGCCCTCTCACAACCGAAGAGACTTGAAGAGGTCAACCTTAAAACTTTCACACCTGACCTTACCTCATGGATTTCCGTCTCCGCCAATAAGACTTTTCAAGTACGAAGTTAACACATCCATAACTTCTGGCGAGGCTTGTGTGTGACCAGTTTTAAGTAGTCGTTCCTTAGTCTCTGTGGTGTCGGTAAGACTACCACTAATACAGTTTACCTTTCAGGTCCCAAAAAAATATACTTCCACGATGTGGGCAACCGAGAAGATACAATTGTCCCCATACTTCTGATAGCACCAAAGTTGCAGCAAACAGTTGCCATTACCTGCTCGCTGAGCCGCGACACCATAAGACTCACCTAAGTGCCTCTTGGTTTGCTCTACTCTACTTACTTCGGTGTTAAAATTACCTACCACCATTATTAGATGTGAACGCCTAACTTTGTGAAGGTTGTGAGTGCGAAACTGACGAGATCGATTTACGTACAGCGATAGCCAGAGTAATTTGTTCAAATAAGGGCCATCTTTGGTGCCGTAATGATGTTGGTCCAAGTTTGGTTTGCAATGCGTCGGCGAGAGCAGTTTCGCTCGATGTTTGTGAAACATGGCCACTCCATGAAGAGGGTGTTAAGACTGTGTTTGATCACCATTGTCTACGAAAGATTGCTGATATTCAATGGAAACACCATGTTAGTGATTTCGGTTTTCGACGACCTACATTCGGGCATAGTAACGATAATTCAATCGATGTCACCATCTTGAAATATCTGCTTCAGTGGTTTGGACATGTGTTACGAATATCGTTCCAGAGAACCTAACATTGTGCTTCATAGGACCACTCGGTCAGTATATACAAGATAACTGTATATGACTGGTAGCCTTCGGTCCTTCACAGCTCCCTCCTAGGGGTCTGAGAGTTAGACCGATTCAGTGGCTTGAGACAAGTTCAGAAAAGGCTCAGGACAAAAACCAGTGAAGGTTCTGTTGTGATTATTTTGCGATTTTTTCCAGTTGTATTTATCTTGGCTGAACTGTTCTTACCACTACATACTATTTTTGTTCGCTCGTTTTCATTTATTTACTGCTTTTGATGACAATCACCCACGTTTTTCTATCTCTTTACAACCTTATTTTCTTACTGTGTGGTACATAATCATTTTTTACCTATTCGCATTAATATTTGTGCAATTAAATAAATAAATGTTGAAGTCATATATATGGTACCTAACAAAAAGGGAAATCGATTGGTGAGGTTGAAATGTTTATTGATTGGGATAGGAAACATTTTATGTATATCTAATTACCGCTTATCTCAAAAAGTGATGTTTACTAGTACAGAGATAGGTTGGAGAAAAGCTAGGGATGGAAAAACTAAAACTTGACACCAGTTCATGAAGTTATCGACTGCCGGTTTAAGCCATGTTAGCAGATAAGGATTGCTTGGTTGGTGATCGCGTAATACCCACAACTGATGGTAAAACATTTTGAGCGACATGGCTTAGAATCGTTCACACGCCCCCACATGTATTCACTCTTAATCTTGATAATGAATTTTAGTACGCCTTCATACATACCTTTACACTGTGTCTTCTCAAACCATATTCCAAATGTTCAATATTTCTCTTGTTGCTACTACAATTTGACCTCTTTTTTCATCTCGTCATGACAAGCTGGCGGCAACTACGGCTCTATGTTGGTGATATCTGTCTATGGCTGGAATTGAAACCCCTTAACTACCAAGCCGCAGTCTTAGGACTGACATTATACTTCGTTCTGTAGTACAATAAACGGTTAGACTATAATTTATGGACAACCTTGGAGAGACGCTAAACTAACCTTGAGTGTCCACCTAATAACTAGCACCGAATGAGTGTTATAAGCCTGTATCAGGAGTTAGAATTATGATTTACAGTTGATGTTTAAGGTTAAGAATTAGATTTGGGTATTCATCACGAACTGACATCAGCTATAATGCCAAAACTATTTAATCAGATGGATAAGTGGATTTCGCACTAAAATTATAGTCTCGCCGAATAAATTTCAATTATGAATATTTTTAGTACAAAATGAAGTTCGGGAAGTAGTGATAGTACACTTATTCTATATTATAACTCCGCAAAGGCGAACGTTTTGAACCATCACGTATGATGTTTCAAGCTTAAGTCGAAATGTGTACTTATGAGCAGTACTACAGCGGTCAAAAAAATGTCTTTATTATCCAACGGGCTTGGAAACAATATCTCAATGCTTAAAATATCCTGCTGATTCGTTTGATGACTACAATTCCGTAAATACAGTTCAACTTGTACCATAAGTGTATATATTTTCAATAATCGAAAGCTGATAGAGAAACCCTGAAATAGACAGCATTCATGAACGTACCCGAGCTGCCAATTTTGGAGAACTTTGGGGAAATCCCCAAAGTCAGATGACCTTGATCAAGATCAAAGGGGAATTTCAGGAAGATTTTGGCTTTTTGTGCCATTTTCCCGAAATTCCCCCCAAAGTGTGCCAGATTTTCCCCAAAATTGGAAACGCAATTCCATTTGTATCTTTAATCTCAGACCTTAAAATTTCAACCGTAAACATCTTAAGTTCAAAAAGATCTAGGTGTCTTGGTTCTCTACGATCAAAAACCAAGTACTATGAAAAAAAGCATATCTTAAACGAGCAACTTCGGAGCTCATCATGGTTAGCCTTACAGTATGAGTTGACTTTTGACTTTTATTCTGTCCAACTAGGCAGTACATCAGCCAAACCACTGACACTTTACATATAATCCAGTCTCGAGATCCCATATCCCTCAGTAGGATGTTCACAACAAAATACAGTGATTCAACTTTTGTTGCCGCTCAACAAAGAAGTGCCAATAAGCAAATCTGGTGTTCAAACTAACGTTTTAGGGTCTGGAAATGTTCATTACTTACTCATTAATTAATTAATCAGTTAATTAATCACTTACTCATGACAAAGGAATTGAAATTCCCTCCCGACTATCGTTCTTCGATTGCCGCGCTATAACCCAATATACAATATCTTCATGTCGTGAGGGTTTAAGTCATTTGATTTTCTGTTATTCATCAAATATATATGAGCTGACCGAATATAAACGACCAACTGAGAAATAATATGCAAACTATCTTGGATATATATTTAAAAGATGGAATTAACATATACAGTAGTAATAAACAAATAAGATAAAATAAGAATGAGAGGACACAACTGAGCTTAAGTAATCGTAGTATTGGAATAACACCATAAATTTACATCTTTTTAAAGGAACCAGATTTGTATTGACAATGGCACTCAAGATCACAAACGATTTGTAAGGCCAGTGGAATGTCACAGCCTTGGCCAAATAATCCGGCATTTTGGTCACTGAATATCAAACAGACCATCGACCCCTTTCAAAGTCAACGACAACCAACGCGCATCACTTAGTTGTATGCCATGGACTGGCAAATAGAGTGGTGGTCCCCACTCGTTGGACATAGATCATCTACGTTTGTGATCTAGAGGTTGTATTAAAATAGAAACACAGACAACATAATACCTGGTGACTATATTGCAGTGAAATAAGTCCAGGACTGTATCAGATGACTGATCTAATCTGTAGTGTCTTGGAATGAACTCAAACTGTCCAGAGTGTTGATTTGTGGTGTCGGTTATTATGTTAAGCCCTTATTCTAGCTTTCGGACAGCCCATCCTACTCATTTACTTGAGTCACAGTCTGACCTTGTTGGTTATTCGCTTATCAATCTTGACTGTTTTTATATGAGCGCGTAGGTGTGTGTACGTTTCTTACCCCATTACTCATCACATGTCTGTAACTTATTTTTGTGTAACTATAAATATTGATTAACGTTTGGTTGAAGGAGAGTTGACTTACCCACCATCTCCACTGCCTGTCATTTCCCTTCTCTCTATTCTATTCGCTTCATATACAAAATATATGTATTGAAAAGTCCATTCTCGTTATTTGACTTATCTAATCCGTCATTGACTAAAGCGATTAAAGTCGATGATTATATACGAGGATAGGCAACATATATATTTCAACAACAATCATCATAACGATCTCCTTGGAGTCAGATTTCGGGCCACTAAAGTGGAGAGCCCTTTCGACAACATCGTTCGATCTAAATGACGATTAAATAACGGGTCTCCACTAAAGATTTCTCAGTGTCCCAAGTATTTATGCATTGATAGCATACAACCAGACAAAGGAATATTAAGGATATTAGAGTATAAGGTAATGGAATCAGTCACACAACTAAGCACAAGTTCACTAACAGGATTGAAATCTCACGCATTTTATAATCATCTGCTGTCAATATCTTATTCCAAAGTGATTATACAATTACATACATTTATTAAGCGTTATTAAACACTCTATTTAGTTAAGTTTGCTTCATAGAGTGAATATAATGTTTGAACTCTTCGATATCGTCTACTGAAGATTGTCGAGCCAATAATTTTAGCGAAAATGACGTTGA